ATATATATTTATTTATTTATTTATTTATTTATTTACTTATTTATTTTTACACACACTTACGTATACTTATATGCGATAGCAAATTTATTGAAAAAGATAGTTTAATAAATTTATATATCACAGGAATTTTAATGAAAAAATACGTATCATTCTACTTATCTACAATATAATTAAAACTTTAATTCCAACGGGATTGCGAATTTTCTATCAAACAATGAGATTTATTTCTTCAGGAATGTAGTCATTAAAAGAAAACCTTATTTATCCGTACATTCGTAAGAAAGACAATTGTTATATTCGATATTTCAAAAATAGAAAAAGACATATGAGTGAAATTAATTCATGTATAATATTATTTATCTTCTATTTATTTTGTACACACAAGTACATATATTTTATTACATATATTCAAGTATTTGACATAAAAATTTTTATGTTAAAATTTAATTAATCATTTAAGTGTCATATCATTTATCAAACGAAATAAATAAAACGAAGATTTTTCTTTCTTCTTTCTTGCATTAATAGATTTTTTCGTTCATAAATATTACATCGCAAAATTCGGTGCACTGCTGAATGATCAAGTAATGATCGGTAATCAGTACGTCTCCCATTTACGAAAATATTTTCAAGCACACCAAAATAGAAATACAAGTGTTCCATTTAATATCAACATTATTATTTAAGATTTTTTCATAAAACATTTTTTCAATTGTAAGTTTCGTCAGAATTTTAAATATGTAATTCCTTTTCGTTATTCTTTTAATGCATACATTGAAATGAATAATAATTATGATTCGATCAATTTCATCATTTTAAGATATAGACAAAATACAGACTTTCATTTTCTTTTTTTTTTTTTTTTTTTTAATTAGCTGTAACATCGCCGTGCGACACTTGAAAAAAAAAAAGCTGAGATTATATATGAGTTAGTGATAAAATTTCATTTGTAAAACGAGAAGTAATTGAAAAAATATCGAACAGATTTTTAATAACACGCGTTTTTTTTAATTTGTTTTCTACTCTATAATAAACACATTTGTTTTAAATTTCTCAAATTTTCCATGTCACAGAGATACAAAATACGCATATTATATATAAGAAAGATAAAGAATTTCAACAAGGTGAAAATAACAAAATACAAATAAGTCTGATGCATGTTGTATCATCTTAATAAAGTAAAATTGATAGTTTGAGATAAGCTGAAATAACATTACCAAGAAAATTGCGAAAATATTTACTGAAAGAGAAATGAGAAAGAGACTTTCTACTAAAAGTTTTTCTATCGATAGTATTGATAACGTTATTAATCGCAGTTACAGTTCAAAGTTCATCTTAGATACTATATCTGATATTAAAGATATCTTGGAATTTCGAACATACGGAAATAAATCAATAGAAGATAGGATTTACTCCATCAAATATCATATACTCGAAAGATAAGATTATAAATAGTACTTTAAAATTGGATAAACATATAGATCACAAGTAAATTTATTTCTTTATAAAAATATTTATCACTTTGACAATAATTTCTTTGATGTCGATTTAAGATATAGATCAATGGAATTGAGTACAACATAAATGTTCAACTTTCAACAGAGTATTATGTACCTGAAGGAATACAAGCTCTGGTAACCAGTTGGGAAAACATAAGTGATTTTATAAATTATTATCATCGATAAGTAAATTTAGAGTTGCAAATTTGTACCAAATTTTTAAAATTTATGTGCTACATTGTGAATCATTTACTGCATACATAATTTAATATAGGAAACTTTTTTTTCGACAGAATACGTCAATCAATTCCTCAGAAACATTGCAAGTATTAAACGTAACTATAATATTGCAAACAGAATGTCAGAAGAATTATTATCAATTCACACGAAATAATATATGCACATATGTGTCAAGAAATAAAAGATTTTGCAAAGTAGAGGTTGATAGTTTATTCGTCTAGAATTTGGTTTCATAAAATTTGAACGAAACTTATTATACTAAATATAATAAAATTTATTTATAATAGTTATATTTTTGATTAATTTATAGTGATTGCAATTTCACGTACCAATGGGAAATTTTAACTTAACATATAGTGGGCAATTATTTGCCTAATTTATTTGAACAATAGTAAGAAATTACAATGTGTCAAATATCAATATAATTTTATAATAGAATAGATATTTAATTAATAAAATAAATGAAAGAAAAAAAAACAGAAACTTATTACAGATGTATTTATTTATGTTGGAACAGAACGAAACAACCAATCGTCGGAATTTTTACAATATATTTACTCAACATTTAATCATCTCATGATCGTGAATTAATATAGTTAACTTCTTGAGATATCTTGAAGAGAATTTAAGAAATTACCACATTTCGGGAAATTCGGGGGAACAGGAGGTAAATCTTCTTGTTCTCCGACATTGAAAACCATCTGCATACCACTTGCTTGATGATAAATAAAGTGACAGTGAAAGAACCAGAATCCTTAACAATGAAAATTTAAATATCAATTTCAACATTGTAAGATATTCAAACATTCATAAATTATTTTTATTTAAAAAATTTTTCAAAGATTTAAATTATAATTCTTTATAGAAATCTAAAATAATTATTATCCCAATAATTATGAGCTGTCACTAGCTATCCTCATAATTATGGGGTATTAATACAGTGCGTTATGTATTGTACATTACATACCTGGATTATTTGCACGGACTCGAAGTACAGCATATCCATTATTCGGAACAGCAAGAGTATCTTTGCCAGGACCATCAAAATTTCTCTTTATTTGTCCGTCCTCATCAAGTTGTTTTACATAATCTACACTAATAGTTGTCGAATTCATGTCAGACAAATTGGGTCCAAATGGTTGACCCATACTTATTACTCTGTACGCATATCCATGCATATGAAAAGCATGCGAGATATTTGGAAGTTGAGCTGCGATTATACAAAACCTCCTTAGAAACATATTTTCTTATGTAGTAAACTCGCTTCAATAAAAATATTTATTTTAAAAGTAACTTAAAATTATACTTAACTTAATTAATTAAATTTAACTTAAAATTATACTCACACGAATCGACCAATATTATCTCCACGGTAGAATTCAATGGAAACTTCAATGTATTAGTACACGAACAATTATCGTTGCATTTAGATGGCAAATTTTGAGAATTACAAACTTGATCCGAGGGATTATCATTGAATTGAGAAATCAGCGGTGAAGGTGCACTTTGATATATTATTCCGTCCAATGTTGCCGCACTAAGGGCTGTCGGTGTTGCAGCTGTGCAGAATTATTTATGTTTTAGGAGACTAGAGCATTATGTTCCATATTTTGAAATAAATTATAAATATTATATTAGATTTTCATAATGTATCTAAATATTAAATTCATGTCTTACATAAAAAGGTGTCATATCGATTCGGCTGAAACAGCTCGTTTTTGTCATAATTAATAAAACCGATGGGTATATAAAATTGCAAGTCCGTTTCCGGTTGAGTGAGGCCTTCGTCAATTGGAGTGCCACTCTTCAACTTGCTGATGCATATTTCTTCAGGATTATTGTCGCAATCAACACCTGATGGATTCAAAATCTATTGTATAAAAAAAAAGAAAATTGTTCGATAAATAAATTACAAATAAATTATAAAATTATAAATAAATTATAAAACTGTTCAATAAATAAATAAATAAATTAATAGATTATTCAGAAAAAATAAATATAAAGTATTCCCTCTGATCGCAGTGTCGAAAATGAAAAAGTAATAAGTAATAATATTGAGACATGATATAAAAGATATCTTACAATTCCTGAAGGAAGAGTCTCGTTAGTGTTTATTTCGTTGGATGCACTAGCATATTGCAATATACCTAATTGCTGTATATCGTTACATAATTCTAGTCCACGAAGTTGTATCTGATAAGCACCAAGAGGTTGATTAGTCTCTATGACAAAATCGTATCGTTCGCCTACAACAAAAACCAGAAATGTATGTTATTTCATATACATATATTAAAAACAAATATTCAAAAATAGTCTACTTTAATTATTAAACGATAAGTAATTAAATTTTTCGTTCGATATTGATCGCAAAATTAATTGTTGCTTAAAATTTTCATTGTTTCTGTACCGGCAGACGAAACGATGGAAGTTACATCGATGGGTTTAATAGGTTGACCATCTGTTTCTATTACGGTCAAGTTATGACCTTCGATTGTTATTTGCCCCGGACAGACAGAACAAAACGAATTAATTAATCGAAAACGATGGCGTGTATTTGGTTCCACAGTAATTACTTCCAAACTAGTATTTGTAGTACTGCCATTGAAATTCTGCAATCGAATCAAGTAAA